TCCCCTCTTCAGGGGGAGATTAGAAGTACGGATGAGGAGAAGTTGTGGTTTGAACCTGAAATTAAAGTTCTCCCTTCTCAAGGTGAGGGGGAGATATTAGCTGAACATGAACCTGTTACTTTGAAAACATTTGAAAGAAGAAAAAAGAAACAGCCACCTCCTTCTCTGGATCCTCCTCTCTATGATCCTACCAACCAATCGACTGATTCTTCTGGGACTGATCTTCAGGTACATACTTCTATCCCTATCTTATCCCTTTCTTCTGATATTGACTCATTATCTGAATATGATCATTTAGCTCCACTAGAAACTCCCTTGGTTCCACATGATGAGGACCATGGGAGAAGATATCCTGCACGTGATCGTCACCCTCCTGAAAAATTGGGTTTCCCTTCATCCAACAATGTTAAGTATCCCATTTCCAACTATATTTCATACCACCGTCTTTCCAAGTCTCATTTGACTTTTACACAACAATTGTCTTCTGTGTCTATTCCTAATAAGTTTCAGGAAGCCCTTGATGATCCTAAATGGAAATCTGCTATGGTAGAAGAAATGAAGGCTCTTCAGAAAAACTCTACATGGGAGATGATTGAGTTACCAAGAGACAAGAAAACTGTGGGGTGCAAGTGGGTGTTCACAGTGAAGCAAAATTCAGATGGTTCGATAGAGAGGTATAAAGCCCGACTTGTGGCAAAGGGCTATACCCAGACTTATGGGATCGATTATCAGGAGACATTTGCTCCTGTTGCCAAGATGAGTACGATCAGAGTTCTTCTCTCGTTGGCTGCCAACTTAGATTGGCCACTAAAACAGTTTGACGTCAAGAATGCCTTTCTACATGGAGATCTACAAGAAGAGGTTTACATGGACCCTCCTCCAGGGTTTACACCTAAAGGGGGAAAGGTTTGCAGGTTAAGGAAGGCTTTATATGGTCTTAAACAATCACCTAGGGCCTGGTTTGGCCGGTTCAGTCATTCCATGAGAAACTATGGCTTTAAACAGTCTCAAGCTGATCACACACTATTTCTTAAACATGTTGGCAGCAAGATTACTTTACTAATTGTTTATGTGGATGACATGGTGGTTACAGGTAATGATGAACAGGAGATTGAGAATCTTCAAAGTTACTTGGCCAAAGAGTTTGAAATGAAAAATCTGGGATCTCTCAAGTATTTTCTAGGAATTGAAGTTGCACGTTCTAAGAAAGGCATCTTCTTATCTCAGCGAAAATATGTTCTTGATTTACTAGCACAGACTGGAAAATTGGCGTGTGAACCTATTAATACTCCAATGGAGGTTAACCATGGATTGTCAATTTATCCAGATCAGATACCTACTAACAAAGAGAGGTATCAGAGGTTGGTTGGATGTCTTATGCCGTTAGTGTTGTCAGATGCATAATCCAAGTGAAGCACACCAAGGTGCAGTGGATCGAATTCTCAGGTACTTAAAGTATACTCCAGGCAAGGGTATATTGTTTTCAAAACATGGGCATTTAGATGTGGAAAGTTACACTGACTCTGACTTTGCAGGCTCAAAACTTGATAGAAAATCAACTTCAGGTTATGTATCTTTTGTCGGTGGTAATCTTGTAACTTGGAGGAGTAAGAAACAGGGGGTTGTGTCAAGATCTAGCGCTGAAGCAGAGTATAGAGCACTCAGTCATGGCATAACTGAGCTTCTTTGGTTAAAGATTCTAATGAGGGAACTCGGGTTTGAACCTAAGAAGCCTATGGTTCTTTATTGTGACAATACAGCTGCCATTGAGATAGCAAATAATCCAGTACATCATGATAGAACAAAGCATATTGATATTGACAGACACTTTATCAGCGACTACTTGGAAAAAAAGGTCATTCGAGTACCGTATATAACGAGGGAAGACCAACTTGCAGATATGATGACTCATGCTATTTCTAGCAGAGAACTCTACTCTTCACTAGACAAATTGGGCATGTGCGATATTCATGCACCAACTTGAGGGGGAGTGTTAGAATGTGTAGTGTTAGTACAGCTGTGTTTGTACAGCTGTGTTAGTGAGTGTTAGTATAGCTGTTTGTACAGCTATGTTAGTGCTAGTACAGCTGCTATCTTTACAGCTGTGTTAGTGTTAGTACAGCTGCATCTCTACTCTTTGTATAGCTATAAATACCTCCCATTGGAGATGAATCAATCATCAGAAATTTTCTGCATCTTATTTTCTACTATGTTGCTAATTAGTGGGCCATAAGAGGTCCTTCTCATTCGATGCTCTTGCCATGCTATATTCAGTTATTAGTAGCTGTGTAATTCATTAAACTAAACCTTCAAATGCGGAAGGAACTTATTTAATTGGTAGTTCCTAAATTGTTATGGATTTAGATCTCTTAACGTTAGAAATACCAAAAGCTTTGTTAATTTCAAGTTGTTATGGTGTAGGTCAAATTTCATGTGATATCTCTTCACAAGCTTTGGCGATGTAGCAGTCAAAATACTTCTTCAATGAATTACCTTAACAAGGAGCAGCTTGCAAAGACTCTGACATCTCTATTTAATCTGTATGATGCAAATCGAGATTCCAGTTCTACATATGAAAATGAAGCTGAGTTTTGTTCGTTTTATGTGCTACTTCATCTTGGTTCTAACAGCCAACCAATGGTTAATCTCTATTGCATTTTCATGTTTTTTCATTTTCTTTATTCTTTGTTGCTGTTTTGCATTGAGTTGTATATATGTGAAATATAGATTGTTCTGGTCCCAGGGGGAGTCACTTTCGTGGTGGTTTCGTAATGTTCCTTCCACGTTATTGAAATCTAAGGAAATTTGCTTTTCCCGAAAGATTTTACGGTAATTTCCACTTCCCTTTATTTTATGTGCTTTGCTTAATTATTGGAAATTATTTTTTTTAACATCTATATGAAATGGTTTTATTAGTAGAGTTTTTCTATTTAAACCCCGCACTTCTCTTTGTTCACCCCATATTCTAAGTTCACCCCAATTCTAATTCTAATTTTCACAATTTCTAAGTAAACCCCACTGTCTTCCCAAACTACCCCTAAATACACACCCATGAGAAAAAATAATTAAAAAAAACTCATCAGCCTCACACCTTTCTCCTTCTGTGTGGTGTTGAGCAGAAGCAGCCGGAGCCCTTCTCCGGGTGTTTGGTGCGGCAGGAGTTTTAGGCACCTCAGTCTTTTCTTGGTCCATCTCTTCTGAAATGGCTCTCCTCATTCTTTTCTTGGGGTTCCATCAATTTCCACAACCACACTAGGATCAAGCCACCAAATTTTTATCTCAGTCGTCCAGAACCAAATGAAAACAAATTGCATAATTAACACTACGAATTTAAGCACCTAAGTTAGTAATTACTAGAATCCTTAAGAACATAAATAAAATGAAAACTAATGCAACAAGAAAAAATAAAAAAAATACTTAACGTCACCTCTAAAAACACATTTGCACAAATACAATTAACAATCACCAAGAACCCAGATGATATGAACCCCAAAGAAAAGGAAAATGCAACCAAAACTTGAAGAAATACTGAACCAACTACTGAGGATCCTTTCAAATAAATACCATAAAGAATAATAAATAACCCAGATAACAGCAACTTCAGGGAAACAATTATAAATTCAGAAAAGACAAATAAAAAAATTACTCTCCCTGAAAAAAAAGAAGACAAGTAGTCAAGAAGATAATAGCGATAGAATTACAAGTGGGTATCTTTATGTCTTCGTGAATGACAAATGAAGAGCAGTCATCATGAGAGAGCTCGATGATTGCCTAGACTTTGCAGGCAGTGGTTTCTGTTTTTTTGTTGTTGATAGCAGTGAATTATGTTCTTAGTTTGAGCAATCAGCAACCAAAGAAAAGTATGGGGTTTAAACACAATAATAAGTTGGATGACCTTTTTTGTCTTTTTACACAATAATAAAATTTAATAGCTTAATGATTTAAGTATTGGGGTGAACAAAGAAGAGTATGGGGTTTAAATAGAAAAACTCTTATTAGTATTCTTGTTTCGAAAACTGAAAGATGGTCAGCTTCTGCAACAGATTTTTCCGGATAGGCAACTATAATTGTTTCCTAAGCACTATAGCAGCTGAAGCATCTTATCTTCAATACTGCATTCTTGAACCTTATGTCAATGAGGTAAATGAATTTCTAGAGTCTTAACCTATGACTTACAATCCAGGTTCTTGTCATTTAGACCTCAATAGAACAGTATGTTCATTTTGGCTTGTCTTGCATGGACTGTTTTTTAGTCTTGTTGAATGATAAATTCCCTGGCTCTGTGTTGCTGAGATGATAAGTTCTTATTGACAAATGAAATTGTTGCTGTAGTTCTTGTTTTCTCTGTCTGTGTGGGTGAGAATGAGAGAAAGAGAGAGGTATCCTGTTTACTTCTGTCTTTATGTGGTTATTATATTCCTTGGAGCTTGGATTTTGTTCATCTTAAATTCCGGATCTTGTTCAATTCTTTACTGTTTAATCCACATCAATGCTTGTGATGACAAAAATCAAATCTTGTTTTGTGGTTGTTAACTTCAAAAGGTTCGAGCGCTAGCTGTGTCATGTATAAATAATGGTGGATACAAGCTTCATCCATACCCGCTGGCAAACTTATCCAAGCTCTTGATGATGACGGTAGATTATCAATAACTCAAATGTACTAAAATTTGTTATTTTGATATTTACTGTTTGCTGAGATTTTCAAACCTGTATGTGGTTTTTCAGGAATCAGATTTGGAATCATTTTGCAAAGCTTGTGGTCTTGAGATTTGTACAAATGAAGAAGGATATAATTTGTTACCTACTAAGCAAACCACCTTTTGTCATCCTAAGGATGGGTTTCAAAACCATATATTTGTGGGTTCGGAACAATTTGAGAGGTAACTTTAAAACTTGGTGGCACAAGTCCTCCAGTGACAAAATCCTACACCATCATAGGCTACTAGCTAGTGACAGTTTCGTGACCAAAGATCTTTAGGGATGAAAACATTAATAGTTCGGTTGCCACTAGGCTTGAAAGATTATAACATGAGAGAATGAAAAAAAAAAGTGTGAAAACTTTAGCAATGAGTTCTTTTCTTACTGTTCTTAAACATAAATTCGAGAACTCTTCAGCAAAGAAATTGCAGATAATTTAATTCATAAAACAATTTAAAACAATTATCAGTTAAGTGTTTAAAGTTAACAGTGGATTATCAATTATGGAAATAACTTTTATTAAAATATTCAAATCCAATAACGATAAATAAAAAGAAATCCCAACTAATATTTTGATTAAATTACAATTCGAAATAGGCAGTGAGATGTTGTTCACAGATTTTTTTGATAAGCCTGATTTTCTATTTTTAGAACTCATGTTCAAGTACATCATTTCAATACACTCAGATTTTGTGTGCCATATGGTTTATTGACTTTCTAGAACATCTCATGGGGCTCTTGGGGAAACTGAAAATAAAAATAAATAAAAAAAGCAAATGTGTATCCTAAATAACTTTTATTAAAATATTCAAATCCAATAACGATAAATAAAAAGAAATCCCAACTAATATTTTGATTAAATTACAATTTGAAATAGGCAGTGAGATATTGTTCACAGATTTGTTTGATAAGCCAGATTTTCTATTTTTAGAACTCATGTTCAAGTACATCATTTCAATACACTCAGATTTTGTGTGCAATATGGTTTATTGACTTTCTAGAACATCTCCTGGGGCTCTTGGGGAAACTGAAAATAAAAATAAAAATAAAAAGCAAATGTGTATCCTTAATGAGACCAATGGTTTCTCTCTCTCTCTCTCTCTCTCTCTCTCTCTCATGTCTTTCATTTTGAATGTTTTAGGGTGATAATTAGGCATTGATTGTGAAGCTAATTTTTAATTTTTTAGTTTTTGTTGTTTAAAACATATGTTTCAGCAATTGCCCTTTAAGCATGGTGTTTGAATTGGGTTTGCATGTAAGGGGCTTGATATTTTTCTTATCATGTATTTTGTTACTTTTGTCGTTGACATGTGTACTTGTTTAATTTCAGGTAATAAATGCACAAATCTTGTCCAACGCAAGGATATGGCCCTCTTATCATCTTTTATCCGGTAGACTTGGTAAGAGGGCCTCACGTCCCACGGTCCCTTGATGAGTATAAGAAATAAGTTTCCACTAAACCAAAGTATAAAAGATCTTTTTGGTGCAGCAACCAAAGGTTGCCAATAGTATGGTGCTCATTTTTGTGCTTACACTCTAATGAAAATGACCAATGACCTGGATGGAGAGGGCAAAGTACAAAAGTAAGCTTTTAGTTAAAGGGTGGATTCTTTTCTCGCTGATGAGAAATTGTCGGTTGACAGTGCCTTACTGCCCTCTCAAGTGGGAGAATTTTTTGTTGCAGTGGTACTCTCAAGCCAAAAAGAGAGTAAAGTGGTGTTGAAGATTTTTCTGGAGTGCAAGTTCTGCTTCTTGTAAGAAATATTGTAACATATATATTTTTTCATATTTCATCTATCACCCATGCGAGGACATGTAGATGTTTGTATTGCACAAGGTGGATGAAGGCCTGTACGACGTTTAGGGCTGCATGTATTTAATGTTCAAGTGAGATTGACGACACATCTCGTTGAAGACAAGAAGCCAATCCTTGGGTGACAAATTTCAAAGAACATTTATGGTGTTGCAGCAAGAACTTATGTTTTCAGGTGGTGAAGCAAATTGTCCAACCCTTGATTTACAGCATGGTGGCGAGTTCCCATTATTCTAAGAGAAGAAAGAAGAGGTTCAAGTCTCCTGCCAAGAGGAAGGAGTTCTTGAAGAGGTTTCAGCCTTGGAGACATTGATGATGTGCACACTTCTGTTTCTGCTCAAATGACTCTTTTGATGATGTGCAAATGTTGTGTTTTTTTGTTGAAATGAACCTTTATGAGAGCCTTTGATGTATTATTTTAATGATGTTCAAATGTTGGAAAGACTTCCGTGGGTTTAGGACAAGGCTTGTTAGATGGCTCTTAATTTGTATCAAGTACTTGTATTGATTTTGATCAATGTTTCCAGATTGAAAGTTATGTTATAAACTGTTGGTGGGAAATTGAGGTTTTATCGACCTTCTATGGTGGAGAAACACTCTCATGCAACGGGGATATTATTGCTATCCTCGGCCAATAATGCAAAAACACATGGGCGAACTTTTTTCACGTGTCATTGTGTTATTGGCCAAGAATAGCAAAACAGTGCTATTCCCGTTACAAGAAAGTTTTTTGGCCTATGGTGAGCAAACTAAATTGGGGTTGATTCATGTGGGCTAAGGCCTTTTGCTACAGATGGGGTCCACAATTCCACATCACCAACTAAGATTAATGAGAAATTGTACATCTCAAATGAATTTACGAGAATAGTTGTTCACCCCATGAGGAGAAAGTGGGACCAAGCACTCGAACAATGTTCTGGCCTCCCTTCTTGCTAGATCAAGTTTAGAGAGAGTTAACTTCCGGTTTGGTTGCTACCCAACCTTTGTGGTTGGGAGACCCTACTAACCCCAAGGGTAGGAGGTGTGCTTTGTGCGACTTCACCTACCAATACCAAGGTGAACAGTCCAAGACCACTATATGCCTCACTTGGGAAGGTTTCTATAGCCAACCAATCACTTTAATGCCATGCTTAGTTACAAACCCATGCTACTAGGCTCGATTGAGAGAGTTAACTTAAGGCTCAAGCAACATGCCCTAAAATGATCCAACTTTTGTTTTGTGATAGGTGTGCCACTACTGAAACTTGGATAATAATTTAAGCTTCTTAGTTAAAATTCCCCTTGAAACTTGGGTCAAATCTCACTTTGCACCTTAAAAACTGAAAGTGACCTATATCCCCCATTGACCGTTGTTTCTCGTTTCAATTTGCCCTATACTGTCAACTTCGTTCCTAACCTGATGTGGCAGGGACAATAGGGTCTTCTAGTCCCACTTGGCTGTTTTCCCACCAATCTGAGATGGTGAAGTGGCAATTTGTGGAGCCTACCTCTATTTAGAGGCCTTAACTATCGCGAATACACCCATTTCACGACATTTGAATCCCTAAAAATTGGAGGAAAAAAAACAAAGAAGCAGAAAATCGAAAATTAAAGACAAGGCATGAACTCATTCGAGGAGAAGAGATTAACATTGAAGCAATGCATTGCTATCGGTTTATGATAATACGAACTGAAATATATCCAGATCTCATAGGCAAAACAATGGTTGCCGGAAGGCACTGATGGCTGTCAATCCGCTGTCAATCTGTCAAAGCTGTCAATCTGCTGGCATTAAGCGTGTAGTTATTTCCTTTGACAGACTACTCCCTCAACAAGTTTCAGAATAATGAAAGCAATTGGTGAAATCATATGCAAAAACCATGGGTCTTCTAATTCTAAGAGTAAGGATACTAATACAGGGAAAAGAAAGAAAAGTAACTTCAGTCTCAAAAAGCATCCTAGTTTGTTGGTAAAATTAGACCTGTATACCAATACGTACAAGTACAATGATAATGTATCCAAGCATTTTAACTTTGGAGAGCCTGGCTAAATGAATTCAATTGGGTATGCATTTAATGTTAGTTAAGAACCTCATGAGACAATGCAAGGGTGATGATTTAATATAGGTAAGATGACAGAAGAGGCATTCTTAAAGAAAACATCGTTAAGAAGGGATGTTAAAATATTATTCACCACATTTCAAACATGTACATACTGCCCCTGTATTCAGTAATGTACAACCATGACCTACCCGGCTGTGATCACCAGTGCAGGCAACAAAAATATCCCCTCTTAGAGATGACTCTTATCTTAAAATTTACCAGCACTGGAGCCTTTGAACGTATGTGATCCATAGTAAATCCCCCACCATCTTCTTACCAAAGGATCTCAAGCATTTCTCAATGAGGGGCAGTTGTTCTTCTGCTGTCCTCATTTTGAAAACATTACAGCAAACAGCAACATCATTTACTGGCTGCAATAAAGTCCTTTTCAGTCCATAAAAAATCCATCGTAGCAGAGGACACACAAAAATACCCTGTACAGAATCAAGATTATCCTAAAAGTACAAACACCATTAGAAAACCAAAGTTATGTACAAGGACTGTACCCATTAGAAAAATCAAGATTATCCTAAAAAATTATCCTACTGAACTTCAAGCGAGATTAATATGAGGTATATTTTTAACTTAATGAACACTTTCATCTGCCCAACTTGTTGCAAAAACATTAGAACAAACACCACAATTTTCTGCTTCAAATGCTGTTTCAAATCCAGAAACATCCATCGCAGCAAACTCATCCACTGGAAAACCAGAATTTGAATCCATTTCAATTTCCCAGTAACAAAAACCGTTCAAGAATCAAAAGAAGCCCCGACGTCTAGCCAAAAAGAAAGCAACATTAGAACAAGCCAAACAAAAATGGAAGTGATAGAAAAGCCAAAATGTATCACTAACATATAATGCCTTTGATTCTAGTGGAATGGACTTTTTGATATTGTTCCCTTTATAGATACAATTATAAATGTCCGCTTGGAAATATAAAATTATTAGTAAAAGAACAAAGGGCAGTCGAAACTAACTGATTATGTTTAAAACAGTGTTCTCCTTCACTTCTCAACAGATGCAGCTAGGACTTCATGATACTAACAGAAGGTATAGCTAATAGCAATCGCAGTCCAAACATGCTCTTAAACCAATTAAGTGCATGAAGATGGAGTTTCGCTTTTTATTATTTATGTGCCTTGTTTTTTCTTAAAAAATCATACCACCAAAGAATTTGCCTGATATTAGGGAAAAAGTTGTATAATGTGAATGAATACATATAACGACTCAGAAAACGAGAGTCAACCAAACAAATCTAAATGATTACATATAAAAAAAGAACTCTGAATCCAGAGCAAAGAGACAATATTTCAATACAAAATTTCACAGGTCCACTTACTATTGTACTAAGGAATCTCTATTGTCCCTTCCTTAGAACTATGGTATATCTCCAGTAGGTCTGGGACTTCATTCAAATACTTAAGAACATAACAATCCAAAAATCTCCTCTCACCTAGTGTGATCAACCAAGTCAGCTTCTTGTTGTCCCTATTAATCAGCTCCTTAGAAACCAAAATCTTGAAAACATTATACCTTGGTAGAACTGTTTTCTCAAAAGCATGCATAAGAAGCGTGGGATTGGCAATCATAGTCTCCGGTTCCAACTTCACAGTGTTCAGAAGGAAATCCATGAGTCTCCCAAGTTTCTCCTCCGAACAAGCTAAACAAAATGGTTGGCGCTTAAAAACTGACAGAATATCATCTTCAGACCACCCGTAACTCTTAAAAAATTCAATTTTCCTTTTCCATGTTGACTCTTTCATAGAGATCATAACTCGAAGAGCCCGGACAAACATCGGATCAGTCGGGTCAATGCCCAAATTTTTTATTGTTCTAACTGCATAAGCCATTCTGTCAACATTTTGCATAATGGTCCTTGGCTGAAACACTATCAGTTTTGTTAAAACATCAAAGGGAACACCTTCACTCTGCAAAAGGGCCACATTGGGTTGAATTGTACCCTCACTATCAATGTTTAACAGCCATGAAGAGCGCTTGGCCGCCGCCAACACATCATTGGTTGAAAGCAATTTCTTGAGAAATTGAAGTGCTGGTTTTATGTGAGAATCCAAACTCCGAGTCAAAACGGCTGGATTCAATAAAACGAGCTCTGGCAGATTCTGACCCAAAAAGCCATTTTCAATGAGAAAGTTGAATTTGGGCTCCAGATTGTTGCGTACCTTGTAATGGAGGATTGTGGGGCACTTGGCGATCAATTTGGCGATTTGGGCATCATCAAATCCGTTAGATTTCAAGAATTTGAGCATAGAATCTATCCGATGGGTTTGCTTCTTATCAATCTGGAGCTTCTTGGAGGTTGAGATTGCAGATTCTAAAGGAAGCCCGCATGACTTCAGCAGGTACTCAACTGTAAAAGATGAACATAATGCAGATGTAGGCGTTGGTAATGTTGCAAGAAGGCGTTTTTGTACTAAGGAATGCAGATTTCTAAGTACAATGTTAGCCATTTTGGAAGCCGATGTTCACACTGTAACACAAATTTCCCGTTGTAGCCAGCCCGGAAAGATTGGGATCGAGTAGGTAACTAGGGTTTTCGCTGGGCTTTTCGGTTTTTCCTTTTTCGGTAGAGGGAAAACTATTTGGACCCGACAGTTAACTATGTACACCTTACATTAGGGCAAAAGTGCTTCTTAGAAAAACAGTGCCAAACAAGCCCTAAATTTATTTTTTTTTAACTATAATTTATCAATTTATCACGTTTTTTATGTAGTTTCAATACACATTCCAATTCACATCTCTCCCAATTCCATGATTTTTCCCATACGGAATTTCTAAAATTTTATGTTTTTTAATCCAAACACGGGAATTGGTTCATGTTAATTTAGAAATTCTGATTTTTGTCAAAATCCTAAGTTTATTTCCCTTATCCAAACTCACCGTTATGTTTTTTACCACTCGTCACTCACGGGAGGGGTATTCTGATCCATTCGAGCTAAATTTTTTTTCCAATTCACTCAAATTTTAACCTAAAGATGAAATTTTTTATGGAACTCTAAGCTCAAAAATCACGCATAAAGTAAATGATAATAATTCACACTTATGTTTTATCATTAGATGGTTCGAATGGATTGAAATATCTTTCATGAGAGGGCACGTCGTCAAAACTTTACGGAATTGGGAAGAATTAAATAGGAATTAAAATGTGCTTTTGAATTGTTTCGAATTGAAAACTGTAGTGATAAAATTCAAACTATGCTGGCAAAAAAAACGAAGATAAAATTGAAACTATGGACCAGTGTTTTTTTTGAAACTTAGCGATATATTGCATTCATTGATCAGGCACAGAGGCCGTTAGCCAAAAAGGCCAGTACAGAGGCCGTAAAGACCAGTACAAGAGCCGGAAAGGCCATAGCAATAACAGAGACTGATACCCATTTAGGGTTGATACAAGGGTGGACAGTAGTCCAGAGGGGGAGGACACGGGTAACATCGGGAACTCCAGGCATGGCCACAGGAGGCCAGAGAGAACTAGTGTGGACAGTAGTCCAAAGGGGGAGGACACCGGAGACTTCGGGAACTCCAATCATGGCCACAGAAGGCCAGAGAAAGGGCGGTAAAAGGACCGCGAGCCAGGAAAAATCCGGCCAAGAACACTAAATGCCGAAAGCCAGACGCCTAGGCACCCAAACTACAGATGCAAAAAAACTTAAACTCTCACTAGTAAAATACAAGTAAGAGATAGCAGCAAGCAACACACTCAAAACGAGTTGAAGCACAAAATACAACAAGAAAATTGCAAAGCCAAAGATCCGCACAGCAAGCTCAAGCAAACTCCAGGTAGAGCAGAGATCACCCAAAACGACCAGGCCGAAGGGCAGCCCCTGGGGACGAATAGATCTGAGTAGATCTAGACAGGAGCACCAAAAACTGAGCCACCACCGCGCAGACAGCCGATTGAACAACCAGAAGAACCAGGCTCTTACAAGTAAAAACTTGAAGAGAATCTTGATCGATCACCCCAAACGGGATGAAGACAAGCAGCACAAAAGGCTGAAGAGGATCGCACAGCACGCTTGGTCACTCGTTTGCCACCAAATCACAGATAGAAGTGAAATCCATAGCAATTACAGCCTGAAAACAAATCTAAAATCTGCAAAAGAAAACAAACATAGCAAAACAAAACCACTGGCAACACAGGGGACAAATCACCCAAGCCACTGAAAAACAGAGGCAATCTCCGGACACAGGAGATCCAGAATAGGAGCAGAAACAAAGAAGCCACCCACACCCAACCACACACTCCCAGCAAAATGAAAAGAAAAGGCCAAGGTCACAGCAAAAGAAAAGGGGTGAGGAAGAAAAGTCAGGGAGGGAGGGAAGGAGATGACGAGAAACCAAGAAAAGGAAGGAGAGAGGGGCGAGAGGAGAGGGGAGGGGCCAGACAGAGGCAGGGGAGAGTGAGAGGGAAGGGGAGAGCAAAAGGAGGTCACCCTCCCCCAAAGGGGGGTGGCGGCTAAAACTCCGTGAGATTTGCGCAGCCAACAACATGGGTGAACTTTTTTCATGTGTCATTGTGTTATTGGCCAAGAATAGCAAAACAATGCTATCCCCGTTACAAGAAAGTTTTTTGGCCTATGGTGAGCAAACTAAATTGGGTTTGATTCATGTGGGCTAAGGCCTTTTGCTACATATGGGGTCCACAATTCCACATCACCAATTAAGATTAGTGGGAAATTGTACATCTCAAATGAATTTACCAGAATAGTTGTTCACCCCATGAGGAGAAAGTGGGACCAAGCACTCGAACAATGTTCTGGCCTCCCTTCTTGCTAGATCAAGTTTAGAGAGAGTTAACTTCCGGTTTGGTTGCTACCCAACCTTTGTGGTTGGGAGACCCTACTAACCCCAAGGGTAGGGGGTGTGCTTTGTGCGACTTCACCTACCAATACCAAGGTGAACAGTCCAAGACCACTATATGCCTCACCTGGGAAGGTTTCTATAGCCAACCAATCACTTTAATGCCCTGCTTAGTTACAAACTCATGCTACTAGGCTTGGCTGAGAGAGTTAACTTAAGGCTGAAGCAACATGCCCTAAAATGATCCAACTTTTGTTTTGTGATAGGTGTGCCACTACTGAAACTTGGATAAGAATTTAAGCTTCTTAGTTAAATTCCCCTTGAAACTTGGGTCAAATCTCACTTTGCCCCCTAAAAACTGAAAGTGACCTATATCCCCCTTTGACCGTGGTTTCTCGTTTCAATTTGCCCCATGACGTTAACTTCGTTCCTAACCTGATGTGGCAGGGACAATAGGGTCTTCTAGTCCCACCTGGCTGTTGTCCCACCAATCTAAGATGGTGAAGTGGCAATTTGTGGAGCCTACCTCTATTTAGAGGCCTTAACTATCGCGAATACACCCATTTCACGACATTTGAATCCCTAAAAATTGGAGAAAAAAAAAAGCAGAAAATCAAAAATTAAAGACGAGGCATGAACTCATTCGAGGAGAAGAGATTAACATCGAAGCAATGCATTGCTATCGGTTTATGATAATATGAACTGAAATATATCTATATCTCATAGGCAAAACAATGGTTGCTGGAAGGCACTGATGGCTTGGTTGTTGAGGAACATGAGAGAATTGGAGCATAAAGTTGCGCATGGGCAATCAAGATAGATAAAGGTGTGGATTGGGCTTGTGGTTTCATGGGTTGTACTTACTGTTATTGTTGTTGGAAATGTAGTTTAGGCATATGTAATGGTTTGTACTCATGGGTTTGTCTATATTTGGGTGATTTGTAATTGTTTAGCAAGAAGTAATTTTGGTTTAGGGCTGATATAATGATCCTATTGGAATTCCTTTTATTGGTTTGAAAAGGGAGTACTTCAAAATTGCTTGCTATACAATATCTGAACACAATGAAGCAATCTTAAAGGGCCAAAAGAGTTTACATTACTTCAAAAGTGCTTATTATCCCCTACATATCTATCTATGGCCAAAATTAGTTCAAAATACATGGCCAAAAGTAGTTCAAAATACCTGGCCAAAAGACTTCCCAAATAGACAATACATTGGCAAAAGACTTCCAAAATTACAGACATTTCAATTCCACTTTTTACCAAAATAACTCACATTTCAAGTCAGTTTTCTACCAAAATAACAAATATTTGAATCCATAGGGCCATATATACTTAGAATCTTCAAAACTCTTTATTGCCACTTCAGTATATCCAAAACACTTGACTGCCACTTCAATATCTCCATAATTCAAATTGCTTGAGGAATGCCTTCCTATTTGTTGGAAACTTGAACCTCTTTGTTGGTGATGGTGTTGGTTGGTTATATGATTGTGGTTGTGAAGGGCCTTCACTAAAGGTTGAGATGATTGCAAACTCTGAGAGGGTTGCTTCCCCTTTCTTTCTGACTTGAAAATTCATAAAAATAATATATGATAAGTCTATATTATATATATATATATATATATATATACATATAAATTATGCCTCCTTTACTTATTTATTTGTTAATTTCCTTGGATTAAATTGGTTGTTTTAATTGGTTTTGTGAGATTTGTGACGGAATTGTGGAAATAGGAGAAAGTGTGGTAAAAAGGACAATAAGATGAAGATTTCATGCAAATCAAGTAAAGAAGCCAAATCATTCCTTTTGTCGCAAGGAGTGTTGTCAAATTTCCTAGTTCAAGATGGTTCAAGTCTTACCAAATCAAACAAGGAGAAATAAAAAAGACCTTATATTAGAAGGAATCCTATTTTTTTAACAATTGTAATTATACTTTAGATAGGTAGGATTTCTAGGAGTATTATAAATAGGGAGTTTCAGCCATTGATCAAGGGATCCTTCACCATCAAATTCCTACACATTCATACTCATAGCCGAAACACCCAAAGGAGAATACGAAAAGAACTTGCGCAACCTTGGCGTTTTACTTGGAGAATTCGGTGCCTTCCATGTCTTCATCAACCATCATGATTCTCAATAAGTCCTTCATGAACTAATTTCTTTCACTAGGGCTACGATGTAGCCTAGCTATGAATACTCAAATTCTTTGATATAGTTAATTTAATTTATCTATACATGTTGAGTGCTTGTTACCGTTCTTAATGCTTCAATTAATTGGCCACTAATTACATGATTGGAAGAATTGGGTAGATCGGAATGAGATTCCTAATAAAAAGCTTCTTGTAACAAGTACCATAAATTACATAGCCGACTCAGAATATTAGGTTATGGTTTGTGTAGTCTTTAATGTTTTCCATAAATCTTAATGAGTTCTTAGCCATCTAAATCTATAACTAGGAATATAGTGGGTTGACGGTACACAACTAATATAACTCGGAAGAGAGTATTGGTGAGGTAAGGGAAAACAATTATCAACATGTTAGGTAATTAGGATTAACAAGCTAGAAGGATTTGGGTGGGATTAACTAGGTGAAATCGGTGTCCTAGTGCTTCATTATCTTTGTTTTCATCTTTTACATTATTTACTTAATCAGTCCTGTTCTATCATAATTTATTATTTGCCATCAATCACTCAATGACTAGGCCTGAGAACTTTCATGGTTATTAAGCAAATTTTTGTCACATGATTTATGAATTGAAATAAGGTTAATTGTGTCATTTTATCATGTTATGTAG